TGTTCTTTATTTCAATCCAGGATAACTGTCAGGGCTGTTAGTTCCTTTTCTTCACCAAACCTCTGTGGTCCTGCCACTTGCGTTAAGCTTTCCCTTTGCTTGGAATAATGGCTATGGCAGAAGGGCTGACCCTCAGCAGGCTCCTGAACTGCCTGGCTTGCAGCAAAGGCTCTGGAGTTAAGAATGAGCAAGTTTCCTGTGGTGGTTCACTGCAGAAGGGAAGGTGAAGTGTCAGCTCAGCTGTCACAACAGGTAAGTCTGGTTTAACAACTCGCCCTTTGCTCCATGCTGAGGTGGAGAGGACATGGATGGGGGTAAAGGGGCTGTTTTCCATGAAATATTAGTGATAATGGAGCTAAAGTGCTTGGTGACATCCTGGCTATTAGTGAGTCAGTGCTGGAACCACACAAGGTGGGTTTGGAGGGCCATGAGAGGGGTCTCAGGTTGTGTGTTTTGGGGCACTGCATGAGGTGGGGGCTGTATCTGCTGACCCCATTGCTGGTAGCTGTGGGTTTCAGCTGGGGATGAGCCTTGCAAAAGCCCCCCCTGCTTTGCTGCCCATCCTGACTGTTGTGGAGGAGTTCTGCAACGGAGCATGGAACGTTCCTCTCATCACAGAGAGGGAATTCACTTCCAAAGGGGAATGTGCACACTCCTGGTAACCTCTGACTCGGAGCTGTGGTTCAAACAGTAACGACAGTAACTCCCCACGTGTCATCTCTCTCCTCAGGCCTCCTGTGTTGCACCCCTCAGTGCCCTGGATGATGGCACAAAGGCAAAGCAGCCCCTTGGTCCTTCGTGGGTTGCCATGACCTGGAACAGCACAAGGTGAGCAGCTGGACAGGACTGGCAGGAGGGACCTGAATGTGCAAAACACGAAAGGAAGAGCACAACTAACACTTAGAAACCCCTTGTGGAGAGGGAGAGACTGTAAAGCTTCAGCTTCTAATTTCAACCCTAGGCCTTTATGTAACAAAGCTGCAGGCTCAGCCACAGACTGAATGGTGGAAGGTGTCCTAACTGAGCAGCAGCAGCAGCATTGTGGTCATTAAACACATCCTGGTCATCATCTGGGATGGATTCTTAGAGATCATTTATAAACCTGCAGTGGTCAAGAAAAGACTTCTTTAGTCCGCACAAGTGTATTTGAGTTCTAGTGTGACTAATCCTGTGTGTGGACTCACACTGTGCCTACTGTAAGGTAGCAGATGATGCAGAGGGCTGGGATGAAGTATGTTGTTCTGCACCTTGCAGGAATGTAAGAAACCCAAAGCCCTCCTGCTTTCCCTTCCTCTGATGTTACCTGCTGTGAGGAGCTGAAGTAGAACAAAGGACTGATTTCATAGCAATGTAATTTATTTGTCATTGATGTGCACTCACAGGCAGGACATACAAGGCAGGACACATGGAAAATGCTGGGACGTGCATGGAGGTGGCCACAGGAGTCTGGACCTTGGTTCCTACTAATAGGCTTTAGTTTAATTGTGAGTTAAAAAGGACTATTTCTGTCCTTACTGAACTACCTCTGTGCAGCCACTCCTTTTCCTAGTGGTGCTGGCATCCCTCTCAGGAGGAGAAGGGGAAGGAGTGGAACATGGCATTCCCTCAGGCTGTCGGGCTCCCTGAAGCCTGTGCTGTGTGATGGGTGGGTATCACTGCCCCCAGGCTGTGATCCTCGTGAGCACCTATGGTTGCTTTACACCAGATGAGAACTAAGGGTCTGTCTCCTGTCCACCCTATGCACAGACTTTCCTCTGCTTGTCAGGAGCTGCTGGTCCCTACAGACTCACACCTACTCCTGCAGATGGACCATACCATCAGCTCACAGTGCTCACACACAGCAGATGTCCTGCTGTTGCTGGCTTCTGTCTGTCCAGTCCTCCCCCTGCTTTAGCTCGTGCTGGGTGAACACTGTGCTGTCAGGTAGTGCAGGGTTAGACTGAACCACGTCAGTAAGGCATCATTCACACAGGTAACTGCCAGATAAAGCTTAGAATTGACATCAGTTACTTTAGAAGTGGCACTGGACTTGACTTTAGCTGATCAGATGATGTGGCCGGCTGACAAGGAAAGGCTCTGTGAAGTTCTGCACTTCAAGCAACGTGTTCTAGCTCAGAGTGGAAGGAGTGGGAAGGAGACACTGCTCACTCCTCAGCTGAGGAGTGTGTTTCACAGAGGCCATGCTGTGAGGAAAGCTAAGATCAGCTTGTGTGAAGGCAAAACGGGGGTTTTATTTGTAGCAGGCCAGTAAAGCTGAGCAAGCCTGGAGTGAGGTGAGGTGCTGTCTCCCAGCACATGGGCCTCCTCTGCTGCGACGTGTGCTCTCTTGAGCTGCCTCCACTGCAGCCTCAGCTCTCCCCCTTTGTCCAAGCACCCTTCTCCAGGTGAGCTTCCAGCGCTGAATGCAGCAAATGGGCCTGTCCTGGGGTGGGGGAAGCAGCTTCCCACTCCATGCAAGGGTAAACTGCAGCATTTTGAGGAAGGATCGTCCTGCAGGAGCACCTCCCGATGTCCCATCTGAAGTGCAGGGGCTCAGCCTCTCCCTGCAGTCACTGCTCCAGTGAGCTCAGCTCTAAGATGCCTTTGCTTTTCTCTCCTTTTTCGCTCTATCTGCCATTAGGCTGAAGAAGAGCCTGGGGCAGAGGTTTCGCAGGTAGACAGCCAGGGAGGGTGTCAGCCCAGCTACAAGTACTTCCTTCTTCTTCTGTCCCACTGCATTGAGCACCACCTGAGCCACCTCTGCAGCCGTCTGTCCTTCCGCGGTGTTCTTGTCCATAACTGCCAAAGGAAACCCTCAGGTAAGCCCACGCTTGAGTAACTTTCCTGGGAATGCTCTGTTCTAACTGTACGTGGCTGCTTGGATGGGTTTGGGTTTTACACCAGTTGTGTGTGGGAGCACAGCAGGTGTAAGTCATGGCTGGGCTAGAAGTCAGTAGCTGCTGTCTAGGAAGGCTGAATTTTGGGGGTTACTGTTCCTACTCTGCATCCAGAGTTGTCTTTTGATACTTCAGGGATAACCTGTGTCCCCACCAGGTGTTGCAAGCACTTGGAGCAAGTTACTCCCAGTTACTTTGGAGTAACTCAGTAAGGTGGGGAGATGCCTTAGATACAGGGCACAAAACCATATCTCACCTCCATAGTGAGATCCATCCGCTGTTATAGCATTGAGAGAGAGGTTTGTCTGGATGTATCCAGGGCTTATAACTGTCACATCAATGTCATACTGCTCCACCTCTGCTCGAAGACAATCAAAGAAGGCCTGGGTGGCATGCTTGGAAGCAGCATCTGAAAAACAGGGAAAGGACTATGCACTGAAGCGAAGGAGCAGGGCTGAAGGTTCACTCCCCTGAATGGGTTTGTCATTTGTCATTGCAATTGTCATTGCAATGCCCCCACTTCTCAGCAAGAAGCCAGCAGTTGTTCTCCAACTTGGTTTGTCTGTGCTTTGGTTTTCTTCTAGTGAATGGCAGCAACAGGTAGTGGGAGTGAGAGGCAGTTTAGGAAGGCAAAATGTAAATACTCCAGCTGGGAAGTGGCTGGGGTCCTGAGCTTAACAGCACAGCCAGGCCAAAGCACTACAGGGTGAACCCGAGCTGCCTCCTGCTCATGGTAAGGGAGACATGGAGCCTGGCTTGGGAAGTATCTGACAGGACAGGCTGGGGCTGGGGAATGCCACACCAGTGCAGGAGAGCAGAGCTGGCACTTGCTGAGCCTACATGTGCTGAGCACTGCAGACTTGCAGAGCAGGTTCAGAGCCTGGCTGCACACAAGTCAAAACCTGATCCCACAAGCAGACAGGAGTAGAGAAGTGTGGCCTGGGGCAGGATTTCCCCCTTCTTAATGGCTGAGCAACTCCTTTTGCTCACTCCCTTTCCACATATACTTGGTCACTGCCACCGTGCCTGCCCGTCACCTTAACGCGGCTGCAGGGCTGACACCAGCAGCAGGGAGCTCAGCACAGGCTGTCTGAGGACATAGGCAAGAGCTGAGCTCCACACTCCAAGCTCCACGTGGCTCTGGGAGCTCTTCAGAACACACTTCCTGGCACAATCATCCCCACATCACCTGCAGGAGGAGATGGCCCAGATGTTCCCCACTCTCCTGCACTCAGGATAATGCTCTACCACTCTCATGCCATCACCACTGGACTGTGCCATTTGTATGTTTATTTTCAGTGGTTTACAGATGCTTTTATGCCAGATGATCTCCTTTTAGTTCCTCCATCTTTTATAAGGCTTTTTCCAGTAATCTCAGAAGTATTATTTCTTGTCATAGCCAATGTAGCAGGAAGTTTGCTGGATCAAGAGAACTGTTTAGGCTTTTGTTCTGGCATTGTTTGTCCTGTGGCACTTTGTAGCTTATTAAGACAAAAAGTTCCTGCTTTCTTACAGGAGATGAACCAGGCAAACAGCAAGGATAAAATGCAGTCAAATTACAGAATTAATCAGTTTATAGGGACTCTCAAGTGTTGAGATAGGAGAGTAACTGAAAGTGGGGAGATTGAGATGAGCTCTTAGGCAGGAGCTCTTCCCTGTGAGGGTGCTGAGGCGCTGGCACAGGGTGCCCAGAGAAGCTGTGGCTGCCCCATCCCTGGCAGTGTTCAAGGCCAGGCTGGATGCAGGGGCTTGGAGCATCCTGCTCTAGTGGAAGGTGTCCCTGCCCGTGGCAGGGGTTGGAGCTGGATGAGCTTTAAGGTCCCTTCAACCCAAACCAGGCTGGGGTTCTGTGATTCTGTGAATATCAAGCTGTTTTCAAGACACTGAAAACATTCTCCTTCACCCATCCTTTAACTTTAGGACAGGGCTAAGATTTAGTATTTGAGAGTGGCCTCCTCCACAGCTGTCAGTGCTTTGTGACAACCCTGAGAAGGATGCAGAGCTCTGCTTTCCCTGCTTGCATCCAGCTCTACACAGAGCTAAAAGTAGAAGCAGCAGCCAAGTATTCATTCAGTCTGGTGCCCCAAATATGTCTTCCCCATCTCCTATGGAGGTACTTACATGCAGATCTGAAAGGAATGCTTATTTTGCCTTGCACACTGCTGATGGCCACAATGTGGCCTTGTCTCCTCTTGATCATGGAGGGGAGAAGTGCTAGCAAAAGACAGAAAAGACCCATTGAGAATCCCAGCGCTGCCATCACTGCTGTCAAGAATCAGTGCTTTCAGGGGGTTCACAGATGCCCAAATGAATTACAAGATCCTTGTTCAGTGTAGGGGGTGGGCAAGGGATAGTGCTTAGGATGCCTCCAGCTGGTGCTGCAGTCTGGTTGGGATGCTCACCTATGAGGAGACTCCTTGGGCCACAAAGGCTGTCACAGTTCCTGTGATCTCCCCCAGGCAGAGTCAGCACAATGGTCTTTTCTGCCACCAGTGCATTTCCTGCTGCTGACACCCTCCAGGCTGAACCTTCTGTGTAACCAAAGAAGCCTTCCAGGGAAAGCTGCAGCTTCACCTAGAACCCATTCTGCCTGCTTGAGTGTCCTATCAGCACAGGCAGGCTAACCATGTCTCCCTTCATAAGCTCCTGGCAGACCAGAGTCAGGAGATGCCTTATACAAGATAGTCTCTCTGATCAGGTACTTCCCATGCAGCTATGCCCGAGCACCTCTTTTAGGCTTACCCATAAAACAAAGAGTTTCCTCCCCTCTTGTACTGTATCAAATACAATTACAGTGGTTAAGCTGTGCTTAGTTGTGTTGTCCTGCAGAAGGTATTGGCTAAATCCACTGTCCCCCTGTCATGTGGATCACAGGTACCTTTGGTGAGGGCTATAGGACCAAAGTAATTTGTTTCCATCACTTTCTTATCCACATCCAGTCCTGTGTCCACAATCGTGCCTCGGAAACTGATGCCTGCGTTGTTGATCAGTATGTCCACGTGCCCCAGGTACTTCAGGATCTCCTCAGCAGCATTTAGCACAGTTTTAGTGTCCGAGAGGTCAAATACCACAGTGTGAGGTTTGTGTGTCTGTGAACAAGCAAAAGGTAGCAAAGGACTAGTTGAGGCTGTGCTGAATGTGCCGTGTGTTCACGCTCACGATGGCACCTCCCAGCTCTGCAAGCACAGAAGCAGGGCCACCCAAACCTTGTGCAGCAGTTCCATTTGGTAGGAACACATGACAGGAGCAGGTTGTGCTCTCATCTGTCTTTGCTCCTGTTCCATATAGAGCTTAGGAATGGGGCAAGTGAGATCTTCCTCAAGTACTAAAGCTGCTTCTTGTCTTATTATAGAAAATGCAGCTGAAAAAGTCAAAACCCCAACCCACGTGTCTCCTGCAGAAGCCAGCAATACCCTCCTTAGCCTCTGTCAGCAGAACTAGACAGCAAGAATAAAAGCCAACAGAAGGAAAGTCACTTTCCAGATTCAGTCTAGGACATACAGATGCAAAGGCTCAGGGCACTGTGCACTTGCACTTCCATTCCAATGCAGGGAGTCCTTCACATGGCTTGTTTTTGTAGGGGTTTTACAAGATCTGACATGTCAGCCCAGTGTACTCCTAGAGCAGGATCTGTCTCTAACCCCAGAGCTGTATTTTTCCTATTGCTCAACAGAAGAACCCACAAGCCTTTCTGTACCACCACGAGCAGCAGCTTCTCCTCCCACACTCACCTTCTTGCGGTGGTTGGTCACAGTGGAAAGTTGCTGCACCATGTCTTGGAGTTTCTCACTGTCTCTGCCACAGAGCACCAGCTTGCAGCCAGCTGCATGGAAAGCTTTGGCACATTCTTTAGGGGAAGCAAGGAAGAGAGCAAAGTAGACCTTTGAATGACAGGCAAACAGCAGGTCCACATCACAGTGGGTTCTTTTAGCTGGTAAGGGTCTAAGGCGGCTCTGTTACTCCTAATGAGGAATTTGAGTGATGTGATTTACAGGGAAGGTGCAAGATGCCATTTCTGTGACTGACAGACATGTGACAGCAGTGCAGCAGCTGCTGTGCTCACAGTTCCTGTGCTGGTTGTGCAGTTACTGTGCTGTTCACACATCCTCCCCCATCAGCTGGTCAAATCTGCCTGTGCCTCTTAAGAGGGATACAGTTCCCTTGTGTGTCATCTAATGCAGCAGGGCCTGATTTTAGGAGATTTAGGTTTTGGTGATCACCTCCAAAGGTTCTGGAAGCCTTGGAGCTAATGCCTTCATCAGGGTGATCACTAGGGCAAGGCTGGAGAAGGGATGCCATGTCCTCCTTTCAGTGCTACCAGCTGCAGAGGCAGTCGCATGTTCTAACCTACCCCTCTGTGACCCAGCGAGACAAATCACTTGTGCAAAGGATGACAGTGGATGTAAAAAGGGTGTTTAAGGACACACAGTAATTAGAGGTGCTCTGGTGTATTAAGAACTGGGAGTGAGGGGAATAGTGGAAGATCTTGCCACTAAGTCAGTAAGGGAGGAAACTTCCCTGTATGATGGTGGAAATCCATACACCCACAAGACACAGTGCTGCATCTACCCAGCCTCCCACAGCTGGGAGCTCTCTCCTGAGATACTCATTCTGTCTCTTCTTGATGTGAAATACAAATTATTTTAGCATTCCCAGCTCTTTGGTTGTGACAGGCAGAGGGGCCCTTTCCATCTCCTTTGGCCATTCAGTTACTGATCCCCCCTATCCTTCAGGATAAAACCCCATGCAAAGACAGCATCAATCGAAGCTCTAGTTGTTCTGTCAATGTACTCATCCTAACGGAAGGCCTTGATAGCAGAGAGCACCTTGTCTTCTCTTCAAGAAGCTTTTAAAGCAATTCTAAAAAGCAGAATTAAAGAATGTATCCACTCAAACCAAGAATCCATTTTATTACTCACTGGTGTTAATATTGCCAAGAGTTTGAATTTAGAATGGATGGATTTGTACCACACGAGAGGGGTACCTTCACATGAAGGTGAGGGGCAGGGAATGGGAAGTATGGCAGAGGTGATCTGGAAATACAACTGACATGAACACAGACCACCAGTTCAGAGAAGCTTTAGAAAAACAATTTGACTTCCTGGCTTTTCCAGGATTTAGAGAAAAGCTCCTGACAGCACAAGAGCAGCATAACTTGTTCCTGGCTTTGATAACCTCCAGTTTATACAGCACAATGAAAACTGTCCTTCAATTTTAAGACTTCTTTGCATCAAAGTTCTAACCGTGCAAGGTATGCCTCAACATTCCGAGCAACAGGAACTTCCTGCCCATTACTGTTCTACTCCAGTGCCCCCTCCACAAACCTCTTCTTGTCCTGTGCTTGGTGCCCTTCTGTCTGCACTTACCTTTTCCCAGGCCCGAGGTAGCCCCTGTGATCACCACCACCGCCTCCTGCAGGTACGCTCGCATCCGCAACCACTGCAGCAGGCGAAAAAGGGCGAAGATCCCCACGCTGCCAAAAAGCAGTGGGATGATGACTGTGCTTGTGAAATCCATGAGTTTTCCTTTCTGAACCGTCTTCCTAGAGCCACAGGATGAAAGGAAACAGACTATTTCACCAGCAAGAAAATGAGCAGAGGCTTCAAAACTAGGGAAGTCCTTTTCCTTAACTCTGATCACCAATAAACCAGATCCCATGCAGAGGTATCTTCAACTGATTTCCTCATCCCTTTCTTTATACTTTCCAAAGCTCACATCAGTACCCAATTTTAAGCATTGAAATGCTTATCTGAACATCCCAGCAGGACACATGGAGTTGGACTTCTCAGCTGTCATATAACAGAGCTGGCTTCAGCGATGCTGTTCCCACATTCTGCTCTAGGTTCACTCTCCCGTATTTAGAGTGAAAGCTGCTCAGGTCTGGGATCTGCCCCTGCATCCTTCTGACTGTAATAAAACCTCATGGATTTCTCTGGAACAGCCAGTACCACAGTATCTATATCCCAGAGACCAGTTACTGCCTGTCATCCCAGATGGATATAAACCAGTCTGGCTTCTGGCGGCTCGGAGTAAGTTTTCTCTCTAGCATGTTATTTGCTTACTACACTGGAATCTGTGCTTCCATCTTCAGTGTCTTTCACCACCTGATAGTAGAGACAAGTTGTCTGATTTAAATGAACCACATGCCCATTCTAGCAGGGTAAAGCCTAAGATCATTCTCTTTTATGCCAGCAGTAATCATGCAGTTTAACTGCGTTCTAATGTACTGAAACTAAACCTGTGAATGAAACCCAAGCTCAAGGTAGCTATGAGACCTTGAGCTCATCCTGGAATTGGATGCTGATAGCCATGCATAACCCTAATCTCCTTGCTAAGCCATTGCCTTCAAGGGAGTAGTTTATGTTACAGCTTACTCCATGGATGGAGTAAGTGATACTTCTGCTGTAAAAAAAGACCCCTCACTTTCCCACTTTGTCTTTCCCCAAGCTCTTATGCTTGATATCACAGTACAGTCAGTTAAACCCCTTCCTGGGATCTGTACAACTTTTGGGTCCCACTTAAAGTGAAAACCAAGTGTATCATCTTCCCTGTGGTGCAGAGAAGAGCACAAGAAGCAGAAAGCAAGGGGTAACTTATAATGCTAAGCCAGAATTCAGTGTCACTAAGTAGGACTGAACTTGTAGAGAGGATGACAGAGGTGCTATATGCCATGGAACAGAGCTACTGTGGAAAATACCAGGCTCTTCCAGATTTCCATCAGGGGCTTGGGCAGAATTCCTCAAGCAGCTGGTCAGTGAGCAGACCAGCTTTCTGAAACAGCAGTGAACTGTATAGAATAAGTATTTCTGGATAGCTGGAACACAATAAAATAACACCTAAAGATAGCTGAGCTGGCTGGAAATAAACTTGACAAGGTCTAAAAATAAACCCCTCAAGTTAGTACACAGCTCTTCTCAAGGAACTGTGGAGCTCCCCATTCCTCAGCCAACTCAGCGTGTAATACACTGCATAATGCAGCAAGACATCCAGGCCACGAGCTCCCCCGGGCAGAGGGAGGGTGCCCAAAGTGGGAAATCAGGAACCCAACTGGGATTAAACTCATTCTGTTGCAAAGCAATGCATGAGCCCAGCACCCAACTACTCGGAGCAGCATCTCACCCCTCTTTATGCTGTACACAGAGTATTTAGCACTGACTTAGGGCAGAGTTGATTTAGCACAAAAGTGTGTAGCACCCCTAAAATAATTCCTGGGAATGAGCTGTTTTGGCCACAAGGCCACTGGCCTCTTCAGGCTGGATAAGAAGGAGATTCTCCTTTCTGGCTCATGTTCAGTTACAGCAGCTGCTCTCTTTATGTTGTCCCTTTCTTTCTGCTTTCAAAGGTCTCTTGAGAGGAGGTGAGATGTGGGCAGGAACAGCAGGTGCTGTGCTGACACTGAGCTGTGAGGCTCACAGGACATTTTGGGATCAAAACTCTTCAGCTCCCACTTAGGACCTCTCATTATTTCCAGAGTGGGAGCTGACAGATGCAGTAGAACTTCCTTTATGAGCCCTGGTCCAAGCTGAGGTATTTAGAAGATGCAGCCCTGAGCAGCTTTGCTTCTGATTTCAGTAGACAGTAGAAAGCAGATGAAAAGGTAACTGGGAAGAAGGGGCTTTTCTGACCCCTTTTCTAACTAAAGCACACTAGGAGATAGGAGAAAGTCCCATGTTTGATTCCAGCCTGGTTCTTTCATGTTCTTAGGCAAAAATAAAGGTTGGCTGTGCAAGGACTAAACTCTCTGCCACAGGGGCTGGTGGCAGAGTTCCCCCAAGCCTACCAACTAGAAGCTGTGTTTTGGTGCCTCATCAGCATGAACCAGTTATGCCTGGGTGACTTATTCCTAAATCACATCAGTTATTATTCATGCGCTGTCTATGCAAAGAAAGGTCTCTTTGATCCTTTCTCATTTGAAAACCACTTTCCAAGCCTTTTATTGGTTTTCTTTTTCTCCTTCCCCCTTCCCTTCTCCTCTGTATTACAGATACAGAGTGGGCAAATCACCCAGTCTCAGCCTGAGCCCTCACTATCACCTTTGTTCAAACATTGGATTTTTCATGCTGAAAAACACTTACTAATTCTTAACAGATCATGTTTCTGACACCAGTTTATCAGCAGGAGATGCCACTGCTTCAAATAAAGTCCTGTAATTCTCAGTTGCCCATCCCAAAAGGCAGGATTAGAGCACACAGGTTACCAGAAAGCAGAAATAAGAACACTGGTACTGTAAGCAAACAGAGGTGATTGGAAACTTTTTGAAGGCTTACCTTAAAATAAATCCTATATATCCAGTTAAACCCCCAGCTTTCATCTGAAACCAAAACCTAGATGTTATCCCATAAACCCCAGGACAATGATTTCTGAGGGATCTTAGTTACAAAGGTCAAGAGTGCACTAAAGGCAGCAAAGATGAGACCAAGTCCTAAGAGAAACTAACCCCCTGACACACAACAGCTATTCTCCTTTAGCTCCAGCCACCTAAAATCACATTGTCCTTTACATGACAAATGGCAGCAACTGGGAGGCTATTTTCAGCAATCAAAAGGTGTCATTTCAAAGGTGAGGGGCTAAAAGGAAGGGAAAAGGATCATTTTTTTCCTAAGGAAGCCCTTGTCCAGAAGCAGAGCAGCTCTAAGATGGATTAGCCACCACCTTTAGGCTGAAGAAAGCACAATATCCTACCTTTGAAAAGCACTCACTTGCCAGTGCCTCTGAGATGGTGTCTCCCTCCGGGCTTTTAACAGCACAGCCCTGACTTAAATTTGGAAGTGGCTGCATTCCAAGCAAATGTGCTCTGCCCAATGCCAGCCCAGCCAAGAGCTGCCTCTAAAAACAAACCTGAGGAGTGCAGTCTGTGACCTTTGAAATGGGGGGGAGTTCAAGCCCCAGGCTGAAGAGAGAGAAGTGAATTCAGAATGACACAAAACTCCTCATGACCCTCTGCTTATTTCTAGCACTAAATAATTTGTGGTGTTGAATCCAGAGCATCCCTAAAGGAAGAAAATAAAGGCAACTTATGAAGCAGTATCTATGCTCTATTGCTGTGATTAGTTTTGGTGTTACAGAGCACGCTCTGCAATGGGTATTGTGCTTCTTAAACCAGACTTTTAATTTCTTCCCTTAGGATTCTTGAGAACTTTGAGCACAACTGAACACACAGGTGAGTTTCTCCTATGTATTAGGGAAACAGGCATTCCCTCCAGCAGACCAAATTCACTGAATCCCTCAGAAGTATTTGACAGGGAGGAAAATGAGCATTACTTGTGGTTTAGATCAGCTGAACAGTTTTACTGACCCAACTGCTTTGGAAAGAAACTGAAATCCAACTTCAAGATATCTAAACAGAGGGGGAAAAAAGTCCCATAGCTGACAATTCAAATTTGCTGGCAATTTCTCTGAGGTACAAACCCCCAAAATGGGAAGTTCAACCCCCAAAAACTCATTCAAACCCGAAGGAGAACAATGAGATCACACTGATTCAGGTGGCTGAATTACCACTGTGCACTTCCATGTTCACATCATCAGCTTTCACTCCACCTTTATAAGCAGGAAATAGTGTAAAAACCACACTGAGGTCACCAGGAAGCAGTAGAAGTCGCAG